CCCCCCCCCCCACACACACACACGCTGCCTTTTTCCTCCGGAAAAGGTCAACCTTGTTCTTATAGGAGTGAACTGCATTTGGATTAGGGTCAACAAAGAATATAGAGAGAGCATACAGGAAAAGGGTGGCATCCCTGCCAAGTAGTATTTGCTTGCTAGCTATCTGCAATTATGATGATTCGACCATGCTGCTGAAAAGATGATGCATTGGAAGCAGGGTTTCCCTACACTATTGCTTAACCCAGCAAGTCTAAGCCTCCACAGGCCTGCCCCGCTCTCACAATGGTCGGAAAGGCCCTGCGAGTTCTTTTTTTATTTTGAACTAGATTCATGTGGAAGCTGTTTGCATGAGATTTTCCCAGCCAAAAACAGCCATGCAAAGGACAAGCGAAGTGAAATACCCCCCACGCTGCATCAATTCTTTATCGGTCCCAGGAAGATGATTTGAAAGCTGCCCTTAAAACCGATCCAAACACAAAGGGAACCTCCCTAAGAGCAAGCGGGAATCCCTGGATCAGCCCGAAAGAGCGATGGCGCGGAGTATAATGGAGGTTAACACGGTATCGATTTCACCACAACTGTGTGCATGTGCGAGAGCAAGGAACAGGATGTTTGTTAACTGCAGGCAAGAATGAAACAGTCATAGGGAGTGCGGGGGGGGGGGAGAATATTCAAATATTCTTGTATGACCTATTTTTTATTCGATTTTCAGTCTTTCGGCCCGGAACAACTCCCTCCTCCCAGCCCCTGCAGGACCGGGTAGCTGCCATGGGTAGGCCGAGATCGGAAAGCTCCGCCGGGAACCCCCCTGCCTCCTCCCCCGCCCGCGGCCAGAACGAAAGTGCAGCGGCTGAGCAGCCCCGCAGCGCCCCGGAGGGCTGGGCCCGGCGCACGTGGGAGGGGGCGGGGCCTACACGTCATCCGCCCCCGGTTGGAACTAAGGCGCTTGGAACGCGGCGACACGCAACATTCCAAGGGGGAGGGGCGGCCCGCAGGCCGGGCCCGTCTGCCCACGAGGGATCCCGGGGACACGGGCGCCCCGGCCCTGCACGTTTCCAGGAAGGGAGGGGACACACACACACACGCACGCACGCGGGAGGGAGGGAGGGAGGGAGGAGGCCGTGTGCAATGTATCACACGCGAAGGAGGGAGGGAGGAGGAACTGCCGCGTATCATCTGACACTCCGTGTCATTGCATTATGCAAAGGCAGCCTCAGCCCGCTCCGCTGGAGCCCTGCCACCGCCCTAAGCCCACGACCGCGGAGGCAGATCCTCCCCACCAGGAAATGCGAGCCCAGGCATGAGCCTGCCGGCCAGGAGAACAGCTTGGGGGAGTGCGTTTTTGACGCATTGAAGCCCCGTGTCTCCCAACCCATTCGTGATAAAAACCCGTTTGCAAGAAAGAAAGAAAAATAACCCCATGCTTCCATGGCTACTTACTTTCCCATGCGACTGTCTGCATCGTTTAAGCAAAGAGAAAAACTAATCAAGAATCTGTCTGCAGCCTGCGAGCCAGACACGCTCCGGGATCAGAGGCCGCCTACAAGTCGAGCCGAGCCGGGCTAGCCCCGGCGGGAGGGGAGCGGGTCTCCGGGAAACCCAGGCTCCCCCGAGCCCTTGCAAGGATGTGTCACCACCGCCCTCCTCCGGGCTCCGCTCCCACCCCGCAGAACAGCCCGAGCCCCCTGCCTGCCACCCTGCTTTTATTCAAGGGGGGAAGCATGGTTTCACACCCCACCCCCCTTGCAAAATCAGCTCGGAAAGCAAGAGGCGCCCTGCACGCCCCGGCCCCACAGCCGGGTTTCGGGCCCCGAGAAAGGCGCTGCCGCTTCCCCGCCGGCGGGAAATGGTGTCCTGTGTCTTTAAAGAGCTCGGATCCCGGTTTTCCGCGCTGTCCCCCCTTACCACGTGTCTTCTGTTGTTGCTGGGCTTGCCATTCCAGAAACCTGGCTGCTTCCAACAGCGTCTCAATGCTCATCTCTCGGGCTGCCTTGCGGTGGAGGGGCCACAATCCCGGAGGCTCGGATAGAGGGGGTTCCTTCGCCTGGTCTGTCCCCCCGTGCAAAAATGCCCCTGCAAAGCACCCCCCCAGCCCGATCCCCGGCGAGTCTCGCAGACAAGAAAAGGGTTTGCAACAAGATGGCGATGAGTAACAGAAACACAACAAGGAAAAAGGACTGACACTGCCCTGGGCTACTACAGGCGGGCGGCGGGGGAAACCCGGCCTGGATCCCCGCCGCTCGCCGGACTGGGGCTGTGCGCGCCGGGTGCAGGGGAGGAGTTAACTCCGGGGCGCAGCCCTCGCCCCTTCCCTGCCACAATAAGGATCGGGCCCCTTGTGGCTCCCCCACCGTTGGTTCCTGGCACACCAACATCTTGCAAGCCGAGTTTGCAGATGTTCTGGGCGCTCTGTCCAAAAACGTTGCCATCCCCTGGCCTAGACCCTATGTCTTTACCAAGATGTACTGCTACCAGGAAAAAAAAATCTCACCCCTCCTGCAACCCATCATGGCTAGGCCTAGACTCTGTGTCTTTAGGAAGCTTTATTGCAACCTGGATTTGCTGTTGTTAGTGATGGTGAGGAAGGGATCTCAGGAGGTCACATCTAGGCCAACCCTCTGCTCAAAGCAGGACCAGCCCCAACCAGATCATCCCAGCCAAGGCTTTGTCTAGCCAGGTCTTAAAAACCTCCAAGGATGAAGAGTCCACCACCTCTCTGGGTAACCTGCTCCAGTGCCTCACCACCCTGCTAGTAAGAAAGGTTTTCCTAATATACAGCCTCAACTGCCCTTGCTGCAACTTGAGCCCCAGGCTCCTTGTTCTGTCATCTGCCCCCACTGAGAAGAGTCGAGCTCCATCCTCTTTGGATCCCCGCTGCAGGGAGTTGAAGGCCGCTACCAAATCCCCCTCGGTCTTCTCTTCTGCAGACTACATAAGCCCAGTTCCCTCCGCCTCTCCTCAGAAGTCGCGTGCCCCAGCCCCTGAACCATTTTCGTTGCCCTCCACTGGACTTTCTCCAATTTGCCCGCATCCTTTCCATAAAGCAGGGGTGCAGCTGAGATCCTCCCACTGGAAGCTGGCCACTGGGAAGCTAATTACAAGACTTGTAGGGTGTCTTGTCTGCAGGGCATTGGACAGGGTTGCACCCCCTGCTACACAGTGCCCTGGATGCCCAGGGCCGGATGCCTGATGGGGACAGGCCAGTAGCGGCCTTAAGGGAGGGCAAACCAGGCGACTGCCGGAGGCCCCACACTAGATAAAAATAAATTACACTGAATATTTGTTTGATCAATATTGTATTAAGATACTTTCATTGCTTTTTCATGGCTAGGGTGAAGCTGAAATTGAAAATGTCCGACTTGCTTTCAGGTCATCAACATTAAGGGGCCTCAGATGACTCTCTTGGCCAGGGCCCCAACAAGCCCCTGGGCAGGGCTGCAGGAGGGAGGGGGCAAGGCGCGGCAGGCTCCTGTGGGAGCTGGCAGCGCTGGGCTGTCCCGAGCAGCGGCGGGGTAGAGATGGGCTCCCAGCCGCCGGGCCGGGCCGGGCCGGGCCGGGCCGGGCCGCGGGGACTCCGG